CTAATCGAAATGGAAGTAAGCCCAACAATTATGAAACAAGAGATTCCTCGAAACCCAACTTTTCTTCGTACAAAGAATCAAGTCAACATGCAACTATGAATATTTTTGGTGGATAAGACGGATAGAATAGGTCTATTGATGAGTCTTAGGGCGGCCGGAAATATGGAAAAGAAAAAAACGCATTAATTAATATGATAAGTTATAAATGGGAAATATACTTGTGTTTAGTCTGTAATCCAAGAGCACTATATTGAAACTTTAAATATATTTGAGCCTTCGGTAAGCATATGTAGACTACGATAGTACCAGAGCTTTTAGTTGAGATAAAATGAGATAAAGTGGGTTGACCTCGTTGTCGCAAATTGGTCTTGTTGTTAGGGCGACTTAGTTGAACGCACTTCGTCCGAAGTCCTCTGCCATAATAGTTGGTACATTCTCAAACGTTTCGCCGGTATCGTAGTCGGCATCAAAGCAAGCAAAGCTGTGCAAAATTCAATGGAAACGTAAGACTATCCAAATTAATGTGGAAAAACTCAACTACCAGTACTTCATCACCCTAAATGAAATAGAGTCAAAACAGCTCTTCCACAAATAATGGCTCAAATCGCCTGCAGCAGGAAGCATATCATCCTCGGACGGAGTGGAATCCTAGTTTTCTTTTCATAAATAATCAGCATTCTGTCTTGGTAGCTAAGCTCGTTTTCGCAACTTGCTCGTGTTGTCAGGGCGACCTAGTTGGACGAATCTTGTCAAAATTCCTTTGCCAGAGTAATTATGATAATTCCCACAGTTGGACCGCTTCATTGGGACACTCCCAGACGTTTCGGCGGCACCACACTAAGACTTATTATTGGAGAAATGTCTGGGAATCTATCCAGTCCAATATCATAATTACTTTACTAGTGGACATCGAACATGGCGCATCCAACTAGGCCTCTCTGACTACGCGACCAATTTGCTGAAGCGAAGTCAGACCACTTGTATACATAGAAAGGAGACTGCCAGCAAAACAGAGGCCACAACATCTTGGTCTTAATAACCCGAATCCCTAATTAAAGAAATCTTCATCCAACTCGCCATAATATATTTTTGGTATAAGATTTTATTCATGGAATTCTTTTGAACGAAAATATGCCGATCTACATTCATAGGTAGTTTTATATTGGTGAAATTGTGAAATTTATACTACAAACTTGTTTTGACATAATTTTTGGGAGCTCTTTCTGTAAATCGATATTACTCTTTTTTGGACCAGCTGAATTTTATTTCATGGCCAGCCAATTCCCTTTTTGACCGGATGTAGTCAATAGAGCCTATTTTAACGATATTATCCCTATGACTGTTCTGTACTACAATCAAATCAGTAAATGTTTTGTGATTCTTGGGAATAAAGTACAATTTTTCCTACTGTTTTTCATGGTATCCATTTCATTTTTTCTTTATCATCCGCGTCTATATGATACTATCGCCTTGATACACTTTCAGTGAGCGTCGAAGCAAAAGGGCCAGAAATGCAGTAAATCCGTTAAAAGTGTCAAGGTAAAAAAGGCAAATCAGGTCCAACTACTGCTCATGTGTCATTTCTTCACCCACTATGGCTCAAATAGGCATCCACCCTAGAACCGTTAGTTTCTTCTGCCTTCGTTCAATAAGGCAAGTCGGGGGTAAACGTCTGCCGGCACAGTTAGTCACGATGGCGACAGGTAGGCACGACTTGTCACATTTACCGATCTGCACACAAATTTGGTTTCCCGCCCTGTGCCTCCATTCCCACTCCAACCCCGCCAAATACACACACACACCCTCTAACCCTGCTCCACCTCAGCATTCCCACAGGTCCTCTCTCCAGTCGGGCAGTAGTCACAAGGCCTGGAAACAATCTGTTGTGACAACCGGCCATCTGGCGTGGTCATCAAAATCACTTCATGCTAAGCCGGTCTTCTTTTTTTCAGCCTTCGTCACACCCTCAAGCTTCAGAAATATCCCTCTGCTCCTCTTTTCTGGTCTACTTCATCTTGACTTCCAAGCCCTCTCTCCCCCCCTTCATCCTCTTCTAATTTAGCACTCATGTCTTCATATCTCATTTACCTTATTCTATTCCAATCAACCTTCTATCAATACGGCACTGATGCGTCAAAGAGATCATCCTGCCTATTCTTAGAAGGGATTGTATGAAAAACCTACAAAAGGGGGTATCAAAATCATAGAAGGTCAATGAGCCTAGATACGTCGGAAGCACTCAAAATGGATTTCCCGACATATTCAACCTGTTGGCATATGTTTGCAACATCTATCCTCTTCTCCTGGCCTCACTCTCACTCTTCCTTTAACCACGAGCCCAAGTTTCCTATGAACAAAGGGCATCCTATCAAGATCATCCTGCAAGTAGAATGCATCAACTCACCCGGGAAATACAGCTAGCTGCTAGGCCAGCTGACTATGAGTTTAGTCTTGGAAGATGTCATTCCTGAAGGTAGCTACTATGGTGTGAATGGGATTTTCTATCTTTGCGTCGAGTTGCCAGGCTTTAAAAAGCAAATTTTCCTATTCAAATGTAGATTAACCTATAAAATCTCTTAAACTGTGTTTGCCTGAAAATAACTTTATTGAGTTGAAGCAGGATAAATTGATGGAGGCAAAGAGGCCTGTGCTCCTGCCTTATTCACATCAACCTCTAGGCAAGTGGGTAAAGCGCAAAGTGGTTCTTTATATTTTAGTAATGGTAATCACTATGTCTTCATATCAGCGATATATCCTATACTGAGTTTACGTATTGTGTTTTCCAATTGGCAAAACTGTACACTGGTAAGCCTAACAGTTGGTATGATTTGGTTGATTGTGGAGCTAGTACGTAAAGCTAAAATAAACCAACAAGCCGCTTAGGCTTCAAAGGATTAGTAGAAACATTTATTGCATCTGTCGCATTTTTCTTCAATATTTTGTTTGTTATCATCGTCTATAAATGAAATTTGTATGTCCTCATGCAGTTTAACTGCAAGGCTTTAATTTCGCTTATTATCAGCTTAATATTTGGTACAACGAGGTCAACCCACTTCTATAAATCTAAAGGAGACTGCAACCATACCGGGGACCACACCATCTTGGTCCGCATATCTGCAAGTTTTTTATTTCGCTTATTCTCCGCTTAATTTTTGGTACCACTGATTGCAAGTATTTATTACTCCGTAGCGTTTTTTGTTACTTGGTATCTTTATAAGGGCACCTGAGCCCGATTTAAGGATTTAGCGCCTAAAAACATTTGAAAGCCTACCTATTGTTCCATGGATAGATTCCACATTCCTATATGTAATTATGTATCTTATACAGTACTGGAAATAAAAGTGAAAAATGGGAACTAATGCCAGAAAAATTATATGCCCTCTTGTCTTCAACTTTCAAAGTCTAGCCAGATTCGCAATTAATTTATGGTTTAAAAAGTTGATTGTCTAAACAATCGTTCTTTAAAATAGAAGTGCATGCTACCTGTACGCTGTATGGACATAATGAATATGATTCACTATATCAGCTTCTACCTAAGAAGCGATCTCAGATGAGTTTATGCATATTTCTAAGAAATTTTGTTCGCCTTTAGCATGGAATTCAGATGATTAAAGTCATATATTTATATACAGATCATTTCTAGCATAACCAAACGGTAGATTCATAAATATGTATATAACTGATAGAATATAGGCAGGCATGGAGGCATAAGGATGCTAGTTAAGGCCCGCTTATTTGCATAATTTGTTGAGATGTTTAACAATAAATGTATACGTCCTTTTTTCTCCTATAAATATAGTTCGATGTAATATTTAGCATCTTTTTTCCGTCTCTTTTATCTTGTCCTACCACTTTGGCTACTATTTTCGATTCAGCCTCAACAAGAAGTAAAAGGGCTGACCCTCGAATTTGTCAGCCAAAAGAGGATTGCTTTTGTTATGGCCAACCTTATCCGAGTACCGGATGTGGCCGCGTGTCGAAGGCTTGCGCGTCAATATTCTGCCTTCGGTAACCGGATAAATATTAACTCAGATACCCTATGTTCAATGAGGCGAAATGGTAACTTAGCTGACCAACGCAGCAACCATACGCACATGGCAGTAAAGATGACGAATTGGCTTGCTGTTCGGCCACTTCCTGTGCCATAAGCCACACCTCTCGAGTGTATGAGTAGTATATATTTCACATTTTAATTCGTCACACGAACATGAAAACGGATTTATAAACATTTATCAATTTATACGCTTTTACAAATTTGAATAACACGTGCTTTTA